CAGAACGGCGTGGGAAGCACGACGAGAGGAACGCGCGGAGCAAAGGTAAGTGAATTGACACAGGGGGGACTTACTATATGGGGGATGAATTACTATATGGGGGACTTACTATATGGGGGGGACTTACTATATGGGGGGGGACTTACTATATGGGGGATGATTTACTATATGGGGGGGGACTTACTATATGGGGGGGGACTTACTATATGGGGGGGGGACTTACTATATGGGGGGGGGGACTTACTATATGGGGGGGGGACTTACTATATGGGGGACTTACTATATGGGGGATGAGTTACTATATGGGAGATGAATTACTATATGGGGGATGAATTACTATGGGGGATGAATTACTATATGGGGGATGAATTACTATATGGGGGATGAATTACTATATGGGGGATGAATTACTATGGGGGATGAATTACTATATGGGGGATGAATTACTATGGGGGGATGAATTACTATGGGGGATGAATTACTATATGGGGGATGAATTACTATGGGGGATGAATTACTATGGGGGATGAATTACTATGGGGGGATGAATTACTATGGGGGATGAATTACTATGGGGGATGAATTACTATGGGGGATGAATTACTATATGGGGGATGAATTACTATGGGGGATGAATTGCTATATGGGGGATGAATTACTATATGGGGGATGAATTACTATGGGGGATGAATTACTATGGGGGATGAATTACTATATGGGGGATGAATTACTATATGGGGGATGAATTACTATGGGGGATGAATTACTATATGGGGGATGAATTGCTATTGGGGGATGAATTACTATATGGGGGATGAATTACTATATGGGGGATGAATTACTATATGGGGGATGAATTACTATATGGGGGATGAATTGCTACTATGGGGGATGAATTGCTATATGGGGATGAATTGCTATATGGGGGATGAATTACTATATGGGGGATGAATTACTATATGGGGGATGAATTACTATATGGGAGATGTATTTTCAGTTTTAAAAATGTGGCTCTCAAAATAAATTTCAATCGTGGTTTTGGCGAGATTTGGCTCAGTTGAAAAAAAAGGTTGCCCACCACTGACCTATGCGATCCGGTTCTGCACATCATACTGCGTTTTGCGGACTGCTTTCAGGGTGTTGTTAACTTAACATACACATCCGCAGCGGTTTGCATGAACAGGGAGCGATTCTGATGCGGTGTGGAATTTGCACTGAAAACGCTGCGCATTCTGCACCGCATCAGTGTGAACCAGGGCTAAAGTTCATGTGGTGTAAAGGCAGGCGTTCCAATACTTTTGGCAATATAGTGTATGTAGGCATAGGACACACCCCTTGCCACACCCCCTTAAAGGAGAATTATACAAGAAGAATATTAGCTAAACCAACAAGTGCTTTTTCTTTACAACTACTATTCATTTATACTATTTTGAAGTTTACAAATGCAACCATTTAGACACTGGATGATAGGTTTAGCACTGGGAAATACTTTGAAAGAGAATGAATGCATTTTATATACCACTGTATAGATCAGACAAAAAATGAAGGACAAATGAGGAAGAAAGAGGGACTTCCAAATCAGGGACAGTTCCTCGAAATCAGGGACAGCTGGGAGGTATGTGTACAGTGTGCGGAGCCAATCTCACTATGATAAACGATGATCTCTGATTGGATGTTCTGCCACACTTCTGTCCAACCACTTTACTTATGCAAGTCATGCCTAATAATCTCTTATCTGTCATCAGGAAAGTCCTGATAGCTTCCAGTGAGAGCGGACATTCCGGTTAGGGAGGAGAGCTGGAGTCATGGCTGGGAGTGATCGCCGTACACCACCATACGACAGGTGTCACTGACTCCTCTGACATAGGGATCCGCCCCCCTCTACTCTCCGCCCACTACTCACTGCCGGCTCCGCCCACAGATCACACAACTCTGCTGACCGCGGAGGACACCGAGAACGACTCCCGGAGATCAGAGAGCAGCGCTGTACAGGTCAGTGTCGGTGTCAGTGTATGTCAGTGTGTGTGTGAGCGCAGAGGAGAGAATACAGGGGGACAGACTACTAGAGGAGAGACTACGGGCACTGTCACCTGCCCCGGACACACAGGCCACCGACTTCTGTACACACACTGCACCCCGCCTGCCTGCCTGCCTGAGGATTGTCCTTCGGAATGTTCCCTGGGAAGGGTCCTGATCGCCTATAATCAACAAACTGCTTTCTGTGTGTCACTGCCTGTCATCTGTCATACTTATGTGTCTAGAGAGCTACAAAGTAGACGTACCCAGGACAGGAGTCACCTGAGCATTACATGGATGCTTCATACAGCACAGCCCCTACAATTATTATTGTTCACACTTGTCATTATTAGTGTGCTTTTTGGTGTTATTCATAGTATTTTAATGCTGTGGCTACTTCATAAACAGCAGAACTAAGATCCTGAAATTATTATTATTATTATTATTATTATTTTTGCTCTAGCTACTTCAGACACAGAAGAACTAAGGTCCTGATATTATTATTATTATTATTTATTTATATATTTATTTATTTTTTTTTGCTATAGCTACTTCAGACACAGGAGAACTAAGATCCTGATATTATTATTATTATTATGATGATGATTTTTTTTTTTTTTGCTATGGCTACTTCAGACACAGAAGAACTAAGATCCTGATATTATTATTATTATTATTATTACTATTATTATTATTTATTTATTTTGCTATGGCTACTTCAGACACAGGAGAACTAAGATCCTGATATTATTATTATTATTATTATTATTACTATTATTATTATTATTTTTGCTATGGCTACTTCAAACACAGAAGGACTAAGATCCTGAAATTATTATTATTATTGCTATGGCTACTTCAGACACAGAAGAACTTAAATCCTCGAATTTATATATATAATAATATTATTATTCATAATAATAATTCCAGGATCGCAATTCTGCTGTTTATGAAGTAGCCATAGTAATAATAATACTATGAATATAATAATAATTCTAGGGTCTCTAAGAGCTGTGCAAATACTTTTTTCCTATGGCTATTTCTTTCTTTCTCTCTCTCTCTATCTATCCATCTCTCTGTATTTCTCTCGCTTTCTTTCTCTCTCTCTCTTCTCTCTCCTCCTCTCTCTCTCTCTCTCCATCCCTCTCTCTCCGTCTCTATCAATCTCTCTGTCTTTCTCTTGCTTTCTCTCTCTCTCTTTTTCTCTCTTTATCCATCTCTCTCTATCCATCTCTCTCTATCCATCTCTCTCTATCCATCTCTCTTTATCCACCCCTCTCTCTCTATCCATCTCTCTCTCTCCATCTCTCCACCTCTCTGTCTTTCTCTCACTTTCTTTCTCTCTCTTCCCCCTCTCTCTCTCCATCTCTCTCTCTCTCTCTCTCCATCTCTCCACCTCTCTGTCTTTCTCTCGCTTTCTTTCTCTCTCTTCTCTCTCTTCTTTCTCTCTCTTTATCCATCTCTCTCTCTCTATACATCTCTCTCTCTCTCTATCCATCTCTCTCTCTCTATCCATCTCTCTCTCTGTCTCTCTATCTATCCATCTCCCTGTCTTTCTCCCGCTTTCTTTCTCTTTCTTTCTCTCTCTCTCGTTTAATATATATATTGTTTTTATATAATTTTAATTTATTTTGATTATTTCCTTTTATATTTGTTTTGTTTTGGGTTTTTTTTGCAATGGCTTCTTCAGACAGCAGAATTAAAATCTTAGATTTATTATTGTTACTATTTTTATTTTTTTGTATTGCTATGGCTACAGCTGCAGTAGGACTGTGATCTTAGAAATATTATATTATTATTTTCATATTCTTTTTAATGTGCAAGCTGCATTCACATCTGCACAATCTAGGAACATGTGCATACCTGGAACACTCAAAAGAAAAAAAAAATGTGTTGCAGTGCCATTAAATGTTAATGGAAGCCCAAACCTGGCATGGAAACGCACAGTAAAAAAGTGTGCTAGGGTCTACACCCAAAAATAACGGTGCAAGAGCTTTTTCGGGGGGCGTTTGTCGTACATAGGACAGCCCATTTGAAATGATTGGACTGTCCTATGCATGTTGCGTGAAAACACAAAAAATAAGTATTTGTGCAATGCAGCGGTGTAAATGGGGATAGTGCAGCAGAACTGTGATCCTGGCATGATAATGATGATGATTCAAATTATTATTACTTTTTATGTTAATTACCATGTCCCTGGCAAACACAACTACAACTACTCCCTCTTGTAGGGAACCTGTTGCAGATGTGACATGCATGGTAGCACACTGGCTAAATGGTTAGCACTTCTGCCTGGCAGTACTAGTACTCCAGAGACATGCTGGTAGGTTAATTGGCTCCTGTCTAAATTGGCCCTAGTATGTGTAAGTATGAATGTGAGTTAGGGACCTTAGATTGTATGGCCCTTGAATGTACAATATATATGTAAAGTGCTGCATAAATTGACAGTGCTATATAAGTACCTGTTATAAACAAATAAAATATTAAATATATAAACTCACCAGCCACTTTATTAGGTACACTTGTTCAATTGCTTGGTAACACAAATTGCTAATCAGCCAATCACATGGCAGCATCTCAATGTATTTAGGCCTCTAGATGTAGTGAAGATGACTTACTGAAGTTCAAACCGAGCATCAGAATGGGGAAGGAAGGGGATTTAAGTGACTTTGAAAGTGGCATTGTTGGTTCCAGATTGGCTGGTCTGAGTACCGTATTTTTCGCTCCATAAGACGCACCTGACCATAAGATGCACCTAGGTTTTAGAGGCGAAAAAAGAAGAAAAAAAAATATTCTGAACCAATGGACTGCAGACATAGTACAGGAGATGACCAGAGACTGCGGACATAGTACAGGGGATGACCAGAGACTACAGACAGTGCAGGGGATGACCAGAGACTGCTGACCTTTGGGGAGGGAGGGGGAGCGGGTACCTGAAATTGACAAGTACCCGCTCCCACTTTCGCAGAGTTGTCCTTCCCTCTTCTTCCCGCACCGGCTTCTGTGACAGCCGGTGCCCACTGCGCATGCGCGAGAAGCGCTGCGCTTTGTGAATGGCCCGGCGTCTTCTGGGACCTGTCATGTGTCCCAGAAGACACCGGACCATTCACAAAGCGCAGCGCATGCGCAGTGGGCACCCGGCTGTCACAGAAGCCAGCGCGGGAAGACTGTACAGTGCTGGAGCGAGGAACAGGTAAGGCCCTGCAGGAGAGAACAGCTGAGTGGCCGGCCCGGTATTCTGACATGGTGGCGGCAGAAATACCGGACCGGCCGCTTTATATTTGCTCCATAAGACGCACTGACATTTTCCACCCTTTTTTTGGGGGAAAAAAGTGCGTCTTATGGAGCGAAAAATATGGTATTTAAAAAACTGCTTATCTATTGGAATTTTCATGCACAGCCATCTCTAGGGTTTACAGCAGGGGTCTCCAAACTATGGCCCTCCAGGTGTTGAGGAACTGCAAGTCCCATGAGGCCTTGCAAAACTCTGACAGCCACAGGCACAGCTCCTAGAGGCAGAGGCATGATGGGACTTGTAGTACTTCAACAGCTGGAGGGCCGTAGTTTGGAGATCCCTGGTTTACAGAGAATGGTCCGAAAAAAGAGAAAAATATTCAAAGAGCGGCAGTTGTGTGGACGAAAATGCCTTGTTGATGTCAGAGGAGGATTGCCATTCAATTTCAGCTGCTACATTCAGATGGTAGGGATAGAATTTGGCATAACCAACTTGAAAGCATGGATCCATCCTGCCTTGTATCCGAGGTTCAGGCTGGTGGTGGCGGTGTAATGGTGTGCGGGATGTTTTTCTTGGCACTAGTACCTAATAAAGTGGCCGATGAGTGTGGGAAATGCAGACTGTATACTTCACACTGGATCTGTCCCCCACTTTTCTAAGCTCTGTCTGGGAGAGAGGCAGTGAATCTCTGCTTGCGCTCCTGTATAGGTCCCCCTCCAGTATTATTTGTTGTCTCTGTCCTCTGATTTTCTAAGTGACATAACTTTGGGAAAGAGATATGAAGTCAGAGATTACATAACATTTGAACTCTTTCCAAGCAGTTCTATATTTAAAATGTTTGTTTTCATGTTCTATAATTAACAAAGGAATCTAGGGTCAGAATATAGGAGGCTATGTATACCATCTTCACCTTGTGTGTGTACAAATATCTTTACCCACATTGGGTTTTTTTTTAACTCAAAATCCACTAAGCAATATTAGCATTTAACTGACTACATAATATTAACCGAGATACAAGTTCAATGAAACAACAATCCCTTATGTGAAAGGGGGTCCTACTAACCGGGGGAATTAGTGGTTGGCATGGTAAGGAAGAGAAGCATGCTAAGTACTGTGTTGCAGCAACACTTTGCAGACTTCTATGGGAAGTCATCACAGCTTTCAACAGATCTCTATGGGAAGGCAAAGGACAAGGTGGAGTGTATATTGTATATGTATTTATGTATCTTTATTGCAGCAGGTGTGCACAGTCTGTTGCATTAGGGTGTGCACCCCAAAGCTCAAACACACATTCACATGAGTGTGTCTGTGTGTGTATATGTATGTGTATGTATATATATATATATATATATATATATATATATATAACACAGTGTATACTGTATATACATTCAGACATACACACTCTAAGGCTCTATGCACACTGGATTTAAAAAATCTCTGCACCCAGAGGAGTTTAGTGCGCACAAAAAACACTCCAAAATGCTAGTACAAAAAAAAAACACTCACAATTGGTGTTTTTTTGTTCCGTCAAGAGCACTGGCATTTTTTTTAAGCCAGTGTGCATGCAGCCTTATAAATATATGCAATAAAGAAGGAATGAGTGAGTGCTAAAAGTCAGTGAGCAGCTAAACACCAAAAGGTACCAAAAACCTCAGAAAATTAACAATAAAATAGCAGGGTGTAGCGCTTAAAAGCTGTATGATTTATGCAGACCCCCTATGAGTAGGTGCCATCGCACAAAACGCGTCAGAGAGGGGCTACAGTACTAGGACACCACGCTGCCGGCACCATATCGGTCCCAGCAGCCATCTTGGGTCACCATACTGGTCAGTGATTTTTGTTTATCTACCTGGCTAATAAAGCACTCTCTGTTCATATGGTATCACACTATTGGCCTCCTTTTTTCTGAGCTCCTTGAGCTCCTACTATCCATAGAGGAGGCGAGCCATCCATGGGCAGCTGATGTCGATTTAAGAGGGGCACCAGACCTGACCAGACCTTTAAAGGGGACACTCTGGTTCTTTGAGATTGATATCTCTAAATGCGCAGTGTGATTGCGCATCTGGTGAGTGTGCAGTCTTTACACTTTTCCTTATCACCAATCATTTGGACCAGTCATTTGGATCCGGAAGATCTTTAGGCACCTTTAATATTTTGACTTATACCTGACACCGTGCACATGGCGAGTCACTGATTAGTGACGCAATACATCTATTTACATGCGTTTGCACTATGTCACTTTGTCACCTGTTTTTTTAGAACTGTTATCATATATTGATGTTTTTGTCATGTTTATAAGCTGCTATTGAGGCTTGACATGTTATATGATGCATGGTTTCCTTTATCATATCACGATTATCAACTTTTAAGCACTACACCCTTATAAATAAATGTAAACAAACCTTTAAAAATGTATAAAAACATGGACGGTCTTAGCAAAGCTACTGTTAGAAGTCACAGGGCCCCATACAGCCAGCCTGACAGCCCCCTCCCTTCCCAAAAAAAACAGTTTACTTTGCTTCAGTTATGCATGAACACAGCGAGTGATCAGCACCAATCATTCATTGTGTTAATTCAGGAAAGGAAGGGGCTGGTAAATGTGACATATTTACCAGAACCTTCCCCCACTCTCCATCCTGAAGGATCCTATTGTGTGCTGTCTCTGCAGCAGATGAAAGACAGTGGGAGGGAGAGGAAAGCTGCTGCAGAGAGAGCCATACAGGGGATCGGTTCCAGTAATTGCCCCTCTCTGCATGCCAGTCACCTTCCCTGCCCACATCCGATTCACCCAGCTGCCTGGGCCACCCTGCTGGCCTGGGCCCCATAGAGTAGGACTGGTGGTACCTCCTTATCCACGGCCCTGGTGCCGTGTCAGTCAGGTTGGTGTCAGTGGGGTAGTGGACAGTGTCTGTAGTTTTTGTTTTGTTTTTTTTTTTTTTCATTTTTTTATTTATTATTAAATTTTTTATTATTTTACGTTTTAATTATTTTTTACAATATTTTTTTTTACATTGTTTTTGGAGACCTATTGGGGCCTTTGGTGAGACAGAGAAAGGGACTGAGGAAAGAGATTCCCCAGTTCCTTTCTCTGCAGTCTCAGCTGCACTGGACAGTGAATGAATGGTAAGTGCTTTGTGCTGAGTGGCTTTTGGATCATTCACAAACTGAAGCCTAGTAAGTACAGCTTACTAGGCTTCAGTTATGAGTGATCAGTACAGATCATCTACTGTGTTTATTCAGAAAAGGAAGGGGCCAGTAAATTACCTATTTACTGGCCCCTTCCAGCGCTCTCCATCCTGAAACATCCCCTGCAGCAGCCAACGGGAGAGGGGGAAGCTGGCAGCACTGCAGGAGTAGGGAAAAGATGGACACGGGGGGGGGGGCAAAGCAGCAGGGGGACCCTGTGCCATACGGGGTGATTAGGATGCGCATGCTTAATAATGTGTATGTGCTGAAGGTGTTCTTCTCATGTAGGTAACTTCATAAAATGGAAAAGAAAGGACTGAAAGTAAAATTAATTTCTCCCATTAGGTCATTGTGTGTGTGTGGGGGGGGGGGGAGGGCATCTGCATTCCTCTAGGCAAGTGGTGGTCAACTTTTTTGTTATCAGGGCCATACGTACAGCCCTTGACATCACCAAATGTCAATACAATATTTAGTGAGCTGTCAGAAACTAGAAACATGCAACAAGATCTGATCAAAGGATAAAGATATGCTACAAGAGATGGTCAGAGACTGTAGTTCCACTACAGGAGACTGCAAACATGCTACACGAGATAGAGACTGTGAGATGTGCTATAGGAGTTGCTGGAGACTGAGGACTTGCTTCAGGAGACAGCCATAGACTGGAGAGGAGACATTGTAACATTAGACTGATTGAGATCAATAGTGGTTATAAAGTATCAGTGGAAAACCATACAAAAAGCAAAGGGTTAGGACACAGAGGAGGAAATACATTAAACCATTTTATTTAACTGCTAGAAGCCAGTCTAAAGTTTTTTTGTTCCTCCTCTGGCCTGAATAAGCATCTTGGTGAGGAAAACACATAATGGGTGCACAGTGGGCTCCTATCACATTGGAGACCATAAAACAGGCAGGTGACCTGTATTTTTACCCCCCTCCCACCCCTCCCCCGGACTGCCCACTTACAAGCAGACATGGTACCACTTGGATGAGAGCATATTGAAGCAACTGTGATGCTTTGCATCACAATGCAGCAATTTTTAATTCTACGGTGGATATAAAAAGTTAACACACCGCTGTTAAAATGTCAGGTTTCTGTGATGTAAAAAAATTAGACAAAGATAAATCATCTCAGAGCTTTTTCCACCTTTAATGTGACCTATAACCTGTACAACTCAATTGAAAAACAAGATGAAATCTTTTTTGGGGGGGTAAACATAAAAAAGCTAAAGTAATGCGGTTGCATAAGTGTACACACCCTCTTATAACTGGGGATGTAGCTGTGTTCATAATTAGGCAATCACATTCAAAATCATGTTAAATAGGAGTCAGTACACACCTGCCATCATTTAAAGTGCCTCTAATTAACCCCAAATAAAATTCAGTTCTAGTATGTCTTTCCTGACATTTTCTTGGTCACATCCTACAGCAAAAGCCATAGACCGCAGAGAGCTTCTGAGGGTTCTCATTGTTAAAAGGTATCAGTTAGGAGAAGGGTACAAAAGAATTTCCAAGGCATTAGATATACCATGGAACACAGTGCAGACAGTCATCATCAAGTGGAGGAAATATGGCAGAACAGTGACATTTCCAAGAACTGGACGTCCCTCCAAAATTGATGAAAAGACGAGAAGATAACTGGTCTGGGAGGCTGTCGAAAGGCCTAGAGCAACATTAAAGGAGCTGCAGGAATATCTGACAAGTACTGTCTGTGTGGTACATGTGACAACAATTTCCCGTATTCTTCATATGTCTGGGCTATGGGGTAGAGTGGCAAGACGGAGCCTTTTCTTACGAAGAAAAACATCCAAGCCTGGCTAAACTTTGCAAAAACACATCTGAATTCTCCCAAAAGCACGTGGGAAAATGTGTTATGTTCTGATGAAAACAAGGTTGATATTTTTGGCCATAATCTTAAAGATATGTTTGGAGCAAACACAACACTGCACATCACCAAAAAACACCATACCCACAGTGAAGCATGGTGGTGGCAGCATCATGCTTTGGAGCTGTTTTTCTTCAGCTGGAACTGGGGCCTTAGTCAAGGTAGAGGGAATTATGAACAGTTCCAAATACCAGACAATATTGGTACAAAGCCTTCAGGCTTCTTCTAGAAAGCTGAACATGAAGAAGAACTTCATCTTTCAGCATGACAATGACACAAAGCATACATGCAAATCAACAAAGGAATGGCTTCACCAGAAGATGAAAGTTTTGGAATGGAGCAGCCAGAGCCCAGACCTGAATCAGATATAAAATCTGTGGGTGATCTGAAGAGGGCTGTGTACAGGAGATGACAGATTTGGAGTGTTTTTGCAAGGAAGAGTGGGCAAATATTGCCAAGTCAAGATGTGCCATGCTGATAGACTCATACCTACAAAGACTGAGTGCTGGAATCAAATCAGAAAGGTGCTTCAACAAAGTATTACCGTATTTTTCGCTCCATAAGACGCACCTGACCATAAGACACCTAGGTTTTAGAGGTGAACAAGAAAAAAAAATATTCTGAACCAATGGACTGCAGACACAGTACAGGGGATGACCAGAGACTGCGGACACAGTACAGGAGATGACCAGAGACTGCGGACACAGTACAGGAGATGACCAGAGACTGCGGACACAGTACAGGAGATGACCAGAGACTGCGGACACAGTACAGTAGATGACCAGAGACTGCAGAAATAGTGCAGGAGATGACCAGAGACTGCAGAAACAGTACAGGAGATGACCAGAGACTGCGGACACAGTACAGGAGATGACCAGAGACTGCAGAAACAGTACAGGAGATGACCAGAGACTGCGGACACAGTACAGGAGATGACCAGAGACTGCGGACACAGTACAGGAGATGACCAGAGACTGCAGAAACAGTGCAGGAGATGACCAGAGACTGCGGACACAGTGCAGGAGATGACCAGAGACTGCGGACACAGTACAGGAGATGACCAGAGACTGCGGACATAGTGCAGATGACCAGAGACTGCGGACACAGTGCAGGGAATGACCAGAGACTGCGGACACAGTGCAGGGGATGACCAGAGACTGCGGACACAGTACAGGGGATGACAGAGACTGCGGACACAGTACAGGGGATGACCAGAGACTGCGGACACAGTACAGGGAATGACCAGAGACTGCGGACAGTGCAGGGAATGACCAGAGACTGCGGACAGTGCAGGGAATGACCAGAGACTGCGGACACAGTGCAGGGAATGACCAGAGACTGCAGACAGTGCAGGGAATGACCAGAGACTGCGGACACAGTGCATTGAATGACCAGAGACTGCGGACAGTGCAGGGAATGACCAGAGACTGCAGACAGTACAGGGAATGTCCAGAGACTGCAGACAGTGCAGGGGATGACCAGAGACTGCTGACCTTTGGGAAGGGAGGGGGAGCGGTTACCTGAATTTGACAGGTACCCGCTCCCACTTCCGCGGAGTTGCCTTTCCTCTTCTTCCCGGGCCGGCTTCTGTGACAGCCGGGTGCCCACTGCGCAGGTGCGAGAAGCACTTTGCTTTGTGAATGGCCCGGTGCCTTCTGGGACCCTTCATGTGTCCCAGAAGACACCGGATCATTCACAAAGCGCAGCACATGCGCAGTGGGCACCCGGCTGTCACAGAAGCCAGCGCGGGAAGACTGTGCAGCGCTGGAGCGAGGAACAGGTAAGGCCCTGCAGGAGACAACAGCTGAGCGGCCGGCCCGGTATTCTGACATGGTGGTGCAAAAATACCGGACCGGCCGCTTTATATTCGCTCCATAAGACGCACTGACATTTTCCCCCCTTTTTGGGGGGGAAAAAAGTGCGTCTTATGGTGCGAAAAATACGGTAGTTTAAGGGTGTGCAGACTTATGCAATCATATTATTTTAGTATTTTATTTTTACTTCCCTCCACGTAAAAGATTTCAGTTTGTTGTTTAACTGAGTTGTACAGTTTATAGGTTACATTAAAGGTGGAAAAAGTTCTGAAATGATTTATCTTTGTCTCATTTTTTTACATCACAGGAACCTGACATTTTAACAGGGGTGTGTAGACTTTTTATATCCACTGTACATGCTGAGTTGGATAGGTGACAAATTAACCCCCACCCCCCATTGGTGGTCATTACCTAATCACACGCTCCTGTGCCACTCCTGTTCTCCACAAACCTGGACGTTCCTGGTCCTATGGGTGGAGACAATGCTGTCCACAGTACAGTCTTTATTTCAGTGGTTGGTGATGGAACACAGAGAACGTTTCTGTGCCTGGTACCACGCTGCCACTCTGCTGCTCAACTGGTGGCCAACAGCTCACAGGCCACAAGCAGAGGGCCAGCAGTCTGTTTGTTGGGCACCAGGGCCCTAAGCCATGCAGGTTGTGCCAATTGTTGATTTTTACATGCCGGCTATGAGCAGTGTCTGTAAAGCACATGTGCACAGTATGTATGTAAACATTAGCACACATGTGCAAGGCTTCGTTCACACAGGGTGATTACATCCATGGACTGTTAGTGGGGTCTTAATATTGGAATAATACGCACATCCAGGGTGCGTTCGGGGCCATATACCCTCATCCATATGGATGTCATTTTGGGAGCATCAGCTGTGTTCATGTGGCCTCTGCGTCCCAGTTGACAACAATGGGACTGACAGTACAGGGATGTATACAACACCTGTGCATCCCCATGTAGATAAAACGTGGCCCTGCACTGGACATGGATGTAATTGCCCTGTGTGAACAAGGCCTACATAATGCCAGTATGCCCCCCCCCCCCCCCCCCCTTGAACATGGATTTTGAGTGTTGTTGTTTTTTTTTTTTTTTTTTTGTTTAAATCCCTCAATGCTGCTTGAAAGTACAGATTTAAATGTAAGAACTTATATGGCCACACTGTATATTGAGAGTGGCATTTTTTTTGTCCATGTGCAATGGCGCTTAAATACAGTCAAGTGAGTTGTGCCTAATTTAGGGTAAGGGATAGTATGAAAACCTGCATGGTACAGCAACTGATAAACTGGCTATATCTTTAAAGTGTTACTAAACCCAGGACCCTGCATTCACTTTATCCGGTCTCCCACAGTACATTGAAGTGCAATTATTTTAGTAAATATAAATGGCTAAATACCTTTTCTCATCAGCAGTTAGAGCAGTCTTGTGATTTCTATCAGTGTCCAGCAGAGCACTGGTTAAAGCTTGTAGGAGGAGTATTCATTCTGCTCTAGGAAGATGCAGGACCCCTGAACTCTGTTTGGACAGTGCTGATTGGCCCTGTGCTGATCACATGCACTCTCCCAAGAACCCCCCCCCCCTCTAGAAATACACACCAAACTGAGCATGTGCAGAGTGACTCCACACAATGTGTCTTATCAGGAGATAAGAGGGGGACACTGGAAGAAGTGGAGGATCAGAGAAGTCAGGATCAGATAGCGTTTTTACGCAATGCAGAAGATTAACCCCTTAGGTTCCACAGTGAGTATAACATATACAGACTGATTTTACTATTGTGGTTTTAGTAACACTTTAAGTAAATTTAAAAAAGTCTGTTGACATGTTGGCTCTGTAATCTAATGCTTCTACCTCTGTGCTTGTTCTTTCCATAGTAACTACCTGCTGAAATTGCTGAAAGCAAGAGGAAGCATACTGTGACATAAATAATATGTTCCCCTACATGGGCCATGGTCTAAAAATAATGACTGGCAGAGGTAGCAGGAAACAAGACCTGTGTATTGTCAGTTGCTAATGCAGGTGGACGCACAAACGTTTTTCCACACCATGTTTCCTCATTCAGTCTATTCTAGCAGTTTGTTCTCTATTAACAAGTAGATGGAATGTAGAATTCCTCCTTGGTGTGTGGAAGGGGCACTCTGCAGTGTTACCTGTGGCATACAGGTGATCACTGCCCCTGAACATACAGAATGACCTGATCAGAATATGTATACACATGTATGAAAATGGTTCAAACAGGACAAAACACATTCCCTGCAATATATAAAGAGTGTTGTAGATGCTATTTAGAATCCTGTCTTGTCTCCGCACACAAATGTCAGTGCATGTGGCAGATTCGTGTAGCAGATTCGTGTACATGGACCTCCATACCTAAGCCCTGTGGGTGGGGTGAAATGGATCAAGAGGACGTGGCCTGGACGGAGCTAGGCTGAGGCTGCTCTTATTTGTAAGATATATAGTGCAGCGCTAAAAACAAATAATACAATAGATATAAAATAGACAACCACCTCTTATGATGTATATAAAAACGGTTCAAAGATATCAAAATGACCAATATAACTGTAAACAAGGTGCGTAATTGGTGTATAAATAGCAACAAATGTCCTTAACGGCTGTGTAGTGTATTAACAAACACATCCACTAACTCTGTAATGCACACTGCTAATGAAAGTCCAAAAAGTGAAAATGGTGATGAAACCACAAATAAATTGAAAGAAGGTGACTTGATAAAATTCCAGTGACATATACGATCCGGTGTCGTACAGGAATGATGGGTAAATTGCACACTCACCAGAGGCACAATATAAATGCGCGTTTATGTCATATGCAACAGAGGTCCCCTTGATCCTGGGTAGGATTTAGCCTGGAATGGATAACTCCTCAGTGGGTAATGGAACATCTAGAGGTCCCCTTAAAGGCCTGACTATGGACGGGATCTGCTGGATACAGCTCTCCTCTGAGCCCTGGGATGGTCACCAGGGGGGGTCCTGGGGGTTAAGTGTTCGATGCGGAGCAGAAAAAAGTATTTTGATCAAAATTGGGTACATTTATTGGAGATCAAGGTTAAAAGTAAAAACACACTTTAAAGGTACTGTGGTAAGATCAATCCTTATGAGTAAAATGTAGAATGCAGCATAAAACTGTAATGTACACTGACCAGCTGGTAGTAATGGGTGGCCGCTGGACCTCCGTGATCCGGCAGCGTGACGTCACGGCTTGCAGGTGCTCCTCCTTTACTTACTTTGAGGCTGCTCTTACTATGCCAATCATCAGGTTGTGTTGGTCTGTGGCGTTTGGGACATCTCTATTTACTGTATTTAGCCAGTCAGTGTGGTTATGTGATTGGGAAGTCTTTCCCTCCCCTGGTATAAAAACCCACTTAGGCACCATACTCACTTGTGCCACTTCAATTATATAGTATAGTAAAGCACTCGAATGCCTCATCCATATATATCAAATATATCAGAAAAAGAATAAAATGTTGGACTTTGCTGGCATTGAAGGGGAACACACACATGTACTGTATATATAACAAAATACACATTGTATTTATTATACAAAGGAATCATCTTAAAACCTTCATAGATAAGTTAAAAAGTGGGATTACTCAATAATTCAAATACTTCCTACTGCTGACTCACTCTACCACATAGTGGAAATAAATATATCAAATTTGAATATATTCCATGTACAACAGTAATCGTGGGAGTCCTCATGAGTCAACGCGTTTCTCTTGTGCTTCCTCAGGACACATGAGATTCCAGCAGAGGTTACTATATAAGAGAACAAAATAATGTTTGATGTAGACAATAGATATAAAATGTACATAAGGGGTGTGTATGTGTGTGTGTATATATATATATATATATATATATATATATATATATATATATAGCTATAACATTTAAGATATTCACTATTGTATCTAGAGCTATAGCACCACCTTGTTTGAGTATATGTCCACAATGTGAGTGCTCCCCTTGGGCGGGTACTAGAGCACATAGGAGGATAGGCAATTGATCATTCGCAATAGAGCTTATTGTATAACATAAAATGCGTGTTACAATGCCATATAAGATATAATAAACCATACTATAGAACATAATGCGATTATTAGAAAGGGTTAAAATAAACCAGTTAGTAGGCACAAAGCAAAAGTTAACTATTAACCATTTCAATGGTCGCATCATGTTCTATAGTATGGCTTATTATGTACCTGTTAAATCCCAACAAGCAGCAGAGACGTCCCTAGGGTTGGTGTCACCCGGTGTGGTAACACTTGGTGACACCTCCTCCGACGATCCCCGCAGAATGGATCGGATCTGCGGATTGAGCATAATGGAGCAGACTCCGATCCATTATGCTCAATCCGCAGATCCTATCCATCCTGCCGGGATTGTCAGCTTTCTTTACAACTTATCTTTTCTTGGAGCAGGTCCGGGACCACTGCGCATGTCCCGGTTTCAGGCACGATCAATCGATGATAGCAGTAGTTCTATCATCGATTGATCATGCCTGAAACCAGGACATGCACAGTTGCTTCAGGGGGACATATCTACATGGGAGACACATCTTGCCGATACACCGGTGTCACCCCGCAGGATCGTTCGCATGCAACCTATACGGGGTGACACCGGACCCACTCCAAGAAAAGGTAAGTTGTAAAGAAAGCCGACAATCCCCGCAGGATGGATCCGATGGTCGGCTTGCTTTACAACTTACCTTTTTGTGGAGTGGATCCGGTTTCATCCCGTGCGGTTAGTGTCACCCGGTGCGGACCACACCCCCCGCACCTGCCTTGGAATACCACTGACAAGCAGTAAGGCCAGCTTGTTCACAGCTCAGTATACAGAACAGATGGGGCGGCACAGTGGCTTAGTGGTTAGCACGTCTGCCTTGCAGTAAAATGGGTCATGGGTTCGATTCCTGACCATGGCACCTCCTGCATGGAGTTTGCATGTTCTCCCTGTGCTTGCGTGGGTTTATTCCAGGTGCTCCGGTTTCCTCCCAC